ATGTAGAACAAGCTTAAATTAGCAGAAAAAAACCAGAAAGAATGTCCACCCAATTAAGCTGAAAGAAGCAGAAATTAAATTAGCACCAAAAGTCAACATTATCTGAAAAAAAAACCCAACCCAATTTAAATTATCCAAAAAAACATCTGAAAAGTATCTAAAAAAGCAGAAAGAATCTCAAATTATCAGAAGAAAGTGGAGCGAGCACATTTTTTTTGCTGAATTAGGTTGAAAAGGGTTGAAATGAGTGCAAAAAATGTGCAATTAGCTGAAAAAGCTAAAATGTGCTTAAAATAGCGGGGGGGAAAAGAAGCTTACAGAAAGGAGCTGAAAGGAACATAACAAGAAATTAAAATGAAATTAGCAGAAAGAAGTTAGAAGAATCACAAAAATATTGTAGTTAGCAGAAATAATCTGAAAGGAGCACAAAACAGCTGAAAGTAGCTGAAAGTAGCTGACAAAAGTTTAAATTTCCACAAGAAGCTGAAAATGAACCAAAACAAAATATGAAAGGAGCAGTAAAAGGTTGTAAACAGATATAAATATTTGAAGGATGTAAAATGAGCTCGATTCATTTTATATGAGAATAAAATGCAGAAAAAGCTAAAAATTTCAAAAAGCTAACGTTGCACCAGCTCCTGATCGAGCTGAACGTTTACATGATTTGTTGAAACACAAAAATTGTGGAACGAGAAAGATGCCGTAAAACATACGGAAGAAGAATGGATCACGATATTTGTGAATGCATCATAAGCGTTCACACAACCAGTACACTGCGCTGCCTGTGTGAACTCAGTTTGACTTTTTGATGGAATATAGTTGACGTGTCGTTAATGATACGAGCTCTGTGAGCACAGGTTTACCAGATTTAGCTGGTTGTGATTCAAGTTTTCACTAAAGCATGTTTAAAACTCTGCGATCACTCTTAGTGATGTGGTCGTAGTTTGTTAGCCCGGTCTTTTATTCATTTATGCAACTTTTAGTTCTTCCAATCTACCAAAAAAAAGCACTTTTTTATTTTTTACCATATTTAAAGCAAACTGCTGTAAAGCAGTGGAAGTTTTTTACATATTTTAAAGCTCTGAATGTAAAAAGTAAACAAAGACCAGACTTTAATAAAATATTTAGCTATTTAAGTACATAAAGGTTGTGTTTTTTGTATTTAGGATTTTGGGCAGCAACTTAGTGAACGTGAAACTTGTTTTGCTCTTTTCTTTTCCCAGTATGAACGGGCCTTATTCTGGTCTGCATAATTATAAAAAAAAAAATTTTTAAGTATCAATGCCTACTGTAGTTTCTTATTAAATATATAAACAAACAGTCATGGTCAAAATGGAAGAGAATGGCTCAGTTTTGGTTTTCACAGTTTGCTGCCTCAGTTTTTATGGTGGCAATTTGTATGAACTCTAGATTGTGAAGAGTGATCCGATGAATTGGAAGAACACTGCTGCTTGTAATCAACCATTTATGGAACCACCAAGAACTTCAAGGAGAGTGGTTCAGGGAAGAAATCTTCAGGGCGCCATAGAAAGAGTGCATTTGAACGCACAGTGAGACGAAGGCTTTAGGAAGAAGGCTTGGTGTCAAGAAGGGTAACTTCTCTCCAAGAAAGCCATGAAGGACACACTGACATTCTGCAGGAAGTATAGGGATTGGACTGCAAGGGACTGGAGGGAAGTTATTTTCTCTGATGAATGTTTGAGACATCTGGAGAAATGATTGTCTGGAGAAGAAAAGGTGAGCGCTACCAGGAGTCCTGTGTTTATGCCTACAATGAAGCATCCTGAGAATCTTCATGTGTGGGGTCGATTCTCATCCAGGGGAGTAGGTTCGATAAAACACTGAGTGGCGTCAAAACATCCTCCAAGAGCAACTTCTCTTAACAATCCAGGAGCAAATTGGAGATGAACAATGGTTTCTCCACGGCAAAAGATAACCAAGTAGCTCGACGAACAGAACATTGCAATTTGGGTCCATTGCCAAGAAACTCCCCAGATCTCCATCCCATTGAGAACAACCCAAGAGCTCTCATCAACTCCAAGCACTGATTAGGCAACAATGGGCCATCACTCAAGAATTTACCCAGAAGCTGATATCAAGCAGGCGGAGGCGAACTGCAGACAGAAGTCTTAAAGAAGAAGGGTCAGCACCTTAAATGCTTAAACTGGATGTATTTGTCAACAAAAAGTAAAATAAACCATGGAATGCTGATAATTGTACTTCATATAACATATACAAATCTGACTAAACTTTATTTAAAAAAACTGAGGCTACAAACTGTGACAAACAAAATGTGTCATTCTCCAAACTTTTGTCCACCACTGTATAAATATAATAAAGTTTGTTCTTATAAGAGGCTCAAGGAAACTTTGTTTAGTAGGAAAGGCTGTTGAAACGACTCTTTAAAACACAAAGCTTGCACATTTCCTGCTCCAAACTCGAGCTTGCACAATGAGCTCCCGTGCACGCAGGCCTGTTTGATAAAACTCTGCAGTGATGGAGCTCATGGAGCTGATGGAGCTCCTGGTTCTGCACCTGCAGCTCCGGGGTGTCATCCTCCAGTCCTAAAGCCGGGACTTGAACATTAAACAGCAGCCGGAGCGGTTTCTGCGCGGTAAATGTGCCGCAGCACCAAACAGTAAGAACAGCTGGCCTGTCTGTGCTGCAGTCCTCCTCCACCCTCCTCCTCCACCCTCCTCCTCCTGCCCGCGGAGCTCACCGCGGATCGGCGCAGGCGGGGGAACCCCCAGCGCTGGTTGGGATCCGCCATGGAGGCTTCTCAGCGTCCGGTGTTCGGTTCGGGGCCCGGGGACGTCCGCAGCGGGACGTGGTGTCGGGATGCGAGCAGCCGCAGTGATGAGTCGGTTCCGTCCTCTGCGGTGTCCGGGCGGGCCGAGCCGAGCCGCGTGCGCATCTCGGCGGACCCGGACTGAGAGGAGCGTCACTCACCTGACGTCAAACAAAGATGATGCTGTTGTTAACTGATTTGATCATCGGAAACATTTTACACGAACTAAACGGAGACAAACTCTAAAAGTAATTATAAGAATAAATATGAAAATCTACCTTTATCACGTTTTGTTAGGCGATTTAATTTTTCTCTGCATGAACTCAGAAACAGCAAAAAAGAAGGGAGGAAAAATAAGAAAGAGGCAAATAATTGTCTACAGAAACCACCAGATGGCGGTTTAGTTCAGAGGTTTATAAAGTCAAAGGTTGGTTTTGAGCCATCTGTGGGTTTGGGTGGTAGCCTACCTGAAAATTACAGTGGCGGAATTTGTTGCACCTCCCGGCCACCGTAGGCAAAAGCTTTCAGTTCAATTCATACAGCGTCAAGTCATAACAGAATTCATCTCAGGGCACTGAACACAGCAAATATTCAGCCATTATTAAAGAACATTCTCACCACATGTTCAACATAATTATGAGATGCTAAGTCATAATTATTCAATTTCAAGTATCTTTATTGTAGATACATGTGGTACATGAGGTGGAACGAAATTATGCACAGGGTCCCAGTTACACCCAAAAAAAGCAAAATGTAAAGTATAAAAAGACACAGTAAATAAGAATGTAAGATATGCACTGATATATTCTAAATAAACACCAAACGGTAGACTAGAAGATCTAAGTTAAACATGAAATATAAATATGAGACATTAAGACATAATTATGAGATGCTAAAACATGATTACAAAATGCTAAGTCATAATTATGAGATGCTAAGTAATGATTATGAGATGTTAAAACATATAATTACGAGATGCTAAGACAAAATTATGAGATGTTAAGTTATAATTATGAGGAATTTTCATAATTATGATGTGTTCTCACAATCATAAGATGCCAAGACATAATCTTGAGATGCTAAAACATAATTATGAGAAGCTAAAATAATTGTGAAATGCCAAGACATAATTTTGAGATGCTTACATATAATTCTGAAATGCAAAAAAAATGAGGTTAAGTTTTAATTATGAGATGCCAAGTAATAATTATGAGATGCTAAAACATGAGTTGCTAAGACATAATTATGAGATGCTAAAACATATAATTATGAGATGCTAAAACATATGAGATGCTAAGACA